TCCATCCATCCCATCCATCCATCCATCCATCCATCCATCCATCCATCCATCCATCCATCCATCCATCCATCCATCCATCCATCCATCCATCCATCCATCCAATCATCTTTACCCGTGCCGTCTTTTTCGGGTTCAGGGGTTATTGGTGCCCATGTCCAGCCATCACTATGTTAGAGGCGGGGGACATGCTGGACAGGACTCCAGTCCATCACAGGGACACATAGAGACAAACAAGACAAACAATCGTTCACTCCCTCTCTCTCACCTAGGGACAATTTAGAGTCACCAGTCAGCCTAACATGCATGTTTTTGGTCTGTGGGAGGAAACCAGTGTACCCGGAGTAATCCCACACATGCACGGAGAGAACATGCAAACTCCACCCAGAAAGGCCCGGTCTGGGATTTGAATCAGTGACCTTCTTGCTGACAAGTCAACTGAGCCACCGTGCCACCTTTGGATGAAACAAACAAAGATAATAAAGATCCTGCACCACAGTTGATGTTTAATGATTTTCACCCTCGTAACATTTATTCATAACAACATCAGACTGACGGCTCGTTTTATTACCACCAAATTACAAAAGGTATTCTTAGAATGTGCCCAGGCGAGGCTCCCTGCGTCGTGTTTCAACAAACTACTCTGATCTGAAAACTCTGATCAAAAGATCAATTTAGGATTTTTCTTTTTTTCCCAATCTGTGGATCTGACGTAAAACGTTTGTTACAATAAGAAGAAATATTCCTTGAAGGAATGAACACTTTCTGACTCGGATGGCAAAGTTTCAAAGATGTTGTGTGATCCGTTAAGTATGCGACGGGATCGACTCTCAGCAACTACCACACCAAATGTTAGTTCAATAATCGGGAAATTTGACTGAGCTGAAGTAATTTTTGTGTTTGCTACAGATTAGCTGTGGTGACCGTCTTGGATCAAAAATAATCAGCTAAGTGCATCAAATGATTAGTTTTTTGAAAGTTTTGTTAAAATCCATCCAGCAGCTGAGATATTTTGCTAACAATGCTGCCCACAATTTGCGACGGCAGGT